TACTGTATGATGATTGAAATCGCGAAATTACCTTTAAACGATTAGTAAATCAACTGCAGAATGTTATATTTTCTAATGCACGCACGACTTGCATGTATTCTGACAGCGCTGCACGAACTTGTTAACCAGTGTTCAAAGTCCAAAGCGCGAGGAAAATCTGCGCTGAAACAGTGTTACTCGTCAGCTGCATTGTAACATTTTAATGAAGGCATGTGACGATGCGATTCGTAATGAGACTCATTTATAAATCTGCTGTTGTCGACAAAACGAAGCGCTGAGGTCTTCCTGCGGCCAAAATAAAAGCTGAGAAGAAGCAAAAACTCCGTCAACATTCATAAATGTTAGTATTGTAATTTTACTGTTACAAATAAAATAAAAGACAATGGTAATAATAATTAGCTACAACAGCTCTATTAATACATTTATTATAACATTCACACATAATGTTCAAATTGGGATCTGTAATATTTTAAAAGAAGTCTCTTCTGCTCCGCAGGGTCCTGATGGCCAAAAAATATTATTTTACTAACTTATTAATTTTAAGTTAAATTGTGCTTTGTTGGTATAATGTCTGCTAGAATGTAAAAAAAAATGTTCAGTGTTAAATATTTTTAAATTGTTGTTTTGTAATTGATTTTTTTTCTTTGAAAAGCAAGACAAAACAATGAAAAGCACAATTTGGCTATTTCGTTTATGCAATGGTGAAAAAAATTGGCAAAATACATGAGGAAAAACTTGGAAAACCGTGTTCGGTTTCGGCCAAGAATTCTCGTTTCGGTGCATCCCTAATAGGCTTTACTCGCTTTATTTTGTGAGTTATTTATAGCACTACTGTAGATGTGCTTAAAAATTAACTAAATTATTAAATTCGTATTCCTGCCTTATCTCGATTCTCCTGTTTTTTTTAAAAAATATTTTTCCCAAATCCGGTTTTTTTTTTTTTTTTTTTTCTGTTGTAATTTTTCTGGATTCCATTTTATTGGTTAAATAAAATTTTAATAATCAAAAAGCATGCCTAATTAATTGAAACCTTGAAACGTATACAATTTAACAACAATTTATTAAAAGTTTAACAAAAAAATATTTTTTTAAGGCCTTATGAGGGCCGTTTTATTTTTTTCCAAATTCTGTGATTTCTGTTTTATTGATTTTTTCTGGATTCTGTTTTAATGCTTAAATTAAATTTTAATAATCAAAAAGCGTGTTTAATTAATTGTAATCATGAAACTTACAATTTAACAGCAATTTATCAAAGTTTAAAAAATTAATTTTTTTCCCCCCAAATTCTGTTTTATTTTTCCCAAATTCTGTGTTTTCTGTTTTAATTTGAATTCTGTTTTAACGGTTCAATTAAATTTTAATAATCAAAAAACATGTCTAATCAATTGAATTGATTGTTGGAATTTAACTGTTAAACTTAAAACGGAAACAAATTGTGTGATATTCTTTAAAGACTGAAATATATATTTTTTTAAGTTTACATTTTAATAATTCCATTATATTTCCCATTTACATTTTTTTAAAATTCAGTTTTAATAGTTGAATTAAATTTGAATAATCAAAATGCATGTGTACTCAAATGTCAATCAATTTTAATTAGTATTATTAATCAATTATATTATTTGTTTTTGAATTGTTTTATTACAACTTTAAGAAGTGTGTTTTACAGTAATAATTTATTTCTGCTGTAATTTCTTAAGATTAAACCGAACTTTTATTTTGGCGGTTTGCAGTGATGACGAGTAATATTGAGCAATAATATCATACTCACTTTTCACCAATCAAATCAAGTCCTGCTTGCTATATTTCCTGCTCAGTCTTCAGAAATTATAAAAGCTTCTTTATCTGATCAGAGCTGCTGAATTTACAGGCTCAAAGAAGAAGCGGCTCACAGAGGAGCAGACGTCTGCACCAGAAGAGCCGAAGAAGAGCAAGGTCAAGGACATAATAAACACACAAGACAAGGACGAACGGAATAAACCCAAACAGACGAACCGCGACGCTCTGATTGTCTCTGAAAAGCAGGACGAGACGAAAGAGGAGAAGAAACCGAAAGATGAAGAGGTGAGAGCGGACGAGAGCGCTTCAGAGAGACAGAGGAGCAGCGATCTGACGTCTCTCTGTCTCTGTGTCTCTCAGAGGAGTAAGATCCTGGCTGAGAAGAGGCAGAGCGTGCTGAAGTCGCTGCAGGGATTGGTGACGTCTACAAGAGGAAAGACACAGACCTGCGCAGAGGAGCCGCTGAAACGGCCCGAGAGGAGCCGCGGGGCCCGGAGCGAGAACCGCAGCCCGGCAGAGGAGGAGCAGAAGGGACCTGACCGCAGGAGCACGGAGTGAGTGAGATCAGACAGCACTCAGGAGGCTTTGGCTGTGCCTGATATTTACATTTCCATACTGGCGCAGAGGGTTCGTCACGAATATACGATATGATATCGATTCTCCGATACCTCAAACAATTCTACGATTCGATTCTGTAGTATATCGATCGATTTATCGATGTTATGATATTAGGGATGTAACGATTCACTCAAGTCACAATTCGATTCACGATTTTGAACTCTCGATTCGATTCGCGATTTTGAACGCGCGATTCGATTCGTGATTTTGAACGCTCGATTTGCGGTTTGAACTCACGATTCGATTCGTGATTTTGACCGCACGATTCGATTCGCGGTTTGAACTCACGATTCGATTCGTGGTTTTGAACTCACGATTCAATTCGCGGTTTTGAGCTCACGATTCGATTCGCGGTTTTGAACGCACGATTCGATTCGCGGTTTTGAACGCACGATTCGATTCACGGTTTTGAACGCACGATTCGATTCACGGTTTTGAACGCACGATTCGATTCACGGTTTTGATTTCACGATTCGATTCACGGTTTTGATTTCACAATTCGATTCACGATTTTGATTTCACGATTCGATTCACTCACGATTCGATTCACGGTTTTGAACTCACGATTCGATTCACGATTTTGAACGCACGATTTTGAACGCACGATTCGATTCACGATTTTGAACGCACGATTCGATTCACAATTTTTTATTTTTTTTAAAATGAGATTTAAGACAAATTATAAATTAAATGTGTCCTTTTATTATTGCTTGGACAAAATGCTGCACGTTTCTTTGTGAAATTGCGCAAAAAATACTTTTTTTGAAAAATAAAAACAAAACAAAAAATTTCATAGGGCTGTTGTAAAAATACATTTTAATTAGTTTTTATGCATTTAAATAATTAGACGTGCTTAAACACTGAATTTGGTAACAATAAAACAGAACGTGAGAAAAACATAAAACATATTTCATAAAGCCCTAAACATGTAACTTTTTGTTAAACTTTTAATATATTGATTTTAAATTGTGTAAGTTTCATGATTTTATTAATTAGACATGCTTTTTGATTAATAACATTTAATTTATTTAATTTAAAAGGATTTTTTTTTAATAAAAAAAAACGGAATTTGGAAAAAAAATAAAACGGATTTCATAATTATCATTATGGTCATCGTTATAGTTACCGTTATTGTTATATTTAATAATTGTAATGTAGGGCTGTACCGATTCCTCAATTTAGTTCGACTATTCGATTAAAAAAAAATCCTCAACTGTCGAGTAACCGGCAAAATACAGAGAATACATCATCTTTCTGAACATGCGAACTGTTCATCGCGATTTCAAAATAAAAGCTCAAACCCTCGCTCTGAGTTTGCATGTTTTGATGTCCACATATTCATGTCGTAAAGAAACGGCCAAATATTAAAGATTAAGTGGACATTTGAATTAAATGTTGTTTAGTAAATATTAAACAAGGATTAGATCGCGCAGTAAAGTGTAAAAACAATCGTCAGGCATGTGTTATAATGCGTTATTGCCTCATTGCTATTATATATGTATTTTAATTCATTTTAAAGGGGTCATATGATGCTTTTTTAAAGATCATTATTTTGTGTATTTGGTGTAACAGAATATGTTGACATGCTTTAATGTTAAAAAAACACATTATTTTTCAAATACTGTACATTATTGTAGGTCCTCTATGCCCCGATATTTCTTTGGTTTTGAGACTTTAGTCTTTGCAACTTCAGGGATCTTATCTATGCACAATCAGCTTGTAACACTCCAAAGAGAAAGGAAAACTTGAAATCGCATCATATGACCCCTTTAAAGGCTATTGTTTGCTTAGGTCTATTTTTATTACCTCAAAAAAATATATATTATAATTATCCAATTACTTGATTAATCATCAGAATAATCAAACCAAACCAAAATAATCGTTAGCGACAGCCCTAATTGTAATATTTGTAATCGTTTTTGTGCTAGTTGTTGTTCCAGCTGTCATTAGTTATTGTTATAGCTGTATTCGTATTTGTTTTTTATAGTTAGTTGCATTATCATTATCGTAGCTAATGTTATTGTTATAGTTATAATGGTTATTGCTATCAATATCGTTATCAGTTATTGTTATAGTTGATCTTATTGTAATATAATCATATAGTTATAAAAGTTATGATATTAGTCGGTGTTGTAGTTCTCGTCATTAACTGAGTGTGTTTCTACAGACAGCAGAACAACAGCAGCAGCAGAGAGGAAGAGCTCAGAGGTGAGACACACACATCACGTGTGTGTGTGTAGATCTCTAACCGGGTGTGTGTGTGTAGATCTCTAACCGGGTGTGTGTGTGTAGATCTCTAACCGTGAGTGTGTGAGTGTGAGAGAGTGTGTGAGTGTGAGAGAGTGAGTGTGAGTGTGTATGTAGATCTCTAACCGTGTGAGTGTGAGTGTGAGTGTGTGTGTGTGTGAGTGAGTGTGTGTAGATCTCTAACCGTGTGTGTGAGTGAATGTGTGTGTGTGTGTGTGTGTGTGAGAGGCTGTTATTTGTTATTGCCATTTATGATACCTCTCTTGAGGCCATCGTGCACGCCTCAGCAGATTGTGTCCTCTTTGTAGATCTCTAACCGTGTGAGTGAAGGTGTGAGAGTGTGTGTATGTATGTGTGTGTAGATCTCTAACCGTGTGTGTTTGTGTGTTTCAGCTCACTCTCTGTCCGTCACAGACTCTTTACTCTACCGGTTACATGGTGACATCAGGATCTCAATGACGCTCGAAAATCCAGTATGAACCTGCTTAATTTAATAATTTTATTTAAGGTTTACACTATTGCTTATTGTGTGTGTGAGTGTATATATATATATATGTGTATATATATATATATGTGTATATATATATATATATATATATATATATATATATATATATGTATAT